TTTCCACCTGAGCAGAAAGGAAACCGCCCCAATAGCAGAGGAACAAAAGATCAACTCCTAATAGACAAAATGATCTTGGAAAACTGCAAGAGAAGGAAGACCAACCTGAATGTGGCATGGATTGACTACAAAAAGGCATTTGACTCTCTGCCACATGATGGATAATCAAGTGCCTAGAAATAACAGGAGTAGTAGAAACATCAGAAAATTTGTGCAAAATCGATGGCACAATGGAAGACACAGTTGCAGATCAATGGTGAAAGCTGGGAGAGGTTAATATCAAGAGAGGAATATTTCAAAGAGATTCATTATCACCATTACTATTTGTTATTGCACTGTTTCCTCTGTCAACAATACTGAATAACTCAGGACATGGCTATCAAACATCAAAAACATCTGCCAGACTATCCCACCTCCTTTACATGGATGATCTGAAGCTGTATGGAAAAACATCATCTGAAATAGAATCGCTGCTCAACACTGTCCGTATATATAGCCAAGATATTGTAATGGAGTTTTTGTGGACTTGGACAAATGTGCCACACTTACTATCAAACAAGGAAAAATAGTGAAAACTGAAGGAATCAAGATGCCCCACGAAAATAACATTAAGAGTCTGGATGAGGAAGAATACTACAAATACTTGGGTATCCTTCAAGCTGACAACATCAAGCACACTGAAGTCAAGAAAAAGATTAGAGGTGAATACATCAAGAGAGTGAAGAAGATCTTAAAATCCAAACTCAATGGAGGAAATACCATAAAGGCAATCAACACCTGGGCAATCCCAGTCATTAGGTACACAGCTGGAATAGTGGACTGGACTCAAGCAGAACTAAAAGCAATGGATAGGCAGACCAGAAAAATAATGACAATGAATCATGCCCTTCATCCACGCAGTGACATTGATAGACTTTATCTACCAAGGCAAATAGGTGGGCGTGGAATGCTACAAGTACATCAGATGGTTGAAGAAGAAAAAATGGCTTTGGAAGAATATCTGAAGAACAATGATGAAGATGCACTGAAATTAGTATATCAGGAAGGCTTACTAACTACTGGAGAGACCAAACTGGCCTACAAGAAAGACCAAATGAAGAACAGAATAGAGGCATGGGAAGACAAAGCACTACATGGCCAATACATGAAAAAAATAGCTGGGAAAGCAGATAATAATAAAACCTGGCAATGGCTAAGAGCAGGAAAATTGAAGAAAGAGACCGAGGGACTAATTCTGGCTGCACAAGACCAAGCCTTAAGGACAAATGCATACAAAGTCAAAATTGAGAAGACAGCAACAGACAGTAAGTGCCGCCTATGCAAAGAAGCTGAAGAAACAGTGGACCACTTGGTAAGCTGTTGCAAGAAGATTGCACAGACTGATTACAAGCAGCGGCATGACAAAGTAGCAACAATGGTGCATTGGAAGATCTGCAAAAAATATCATTTGCCTGTAAGCAAAAACTGGTGGGATCATAAAATAGAGAAAGTCATAGAAAATGATAAAATTAAACTGCTCTGGGACTTCAGAATTCAAACAGACAAGCACCTGCAACATAACACCCCAGACTTAACAATTGTCGATAAGAAAGACAAAAAAGTCTGGATAGTGGACGTGGCAGTGCCTGGAGATAGCAGAATAGAAGAGAAAGAACTGGAGAAGATAACAAAATACAAAGACCTACAAATAGAAATAGAAAGACTGTGGCAAAAGCAAGCAAGGGTAGTACCAATAGTCATAGGCTCCTTGGGTGCAATCCCAAAACAACTGGAGCACCACTTGAACACCATTGGCATTGACAAATTCGCTATTAGTCAATTGCAAAAGGCGGCCTTATTAGGAACTGCTTCCATCCTGCGACGATATCTGTAATACCATCAAACATCCACATCTGCCTATCCCAGGTCCTGGGTAAGGACTCGATAGGTAGACAAAATGCCAAATCCAGTCTGAACATCTGGCTGACTGTGCGATGAATGATAATAATAATAATAATAATATCAAAATACCAGGTATTTTGTGCATGAAGGATAGAGACGTGGATCTCTAGGTGAGGATGTCTGTGTGAGGGGGAAATGGTGTAATAGCAAGTGAATTGTGATGAAGTCATCATAAACATGCTGCAGCTTACATACTTCCATCAGACTTAACTGCTGTGTTTGATGGTTTTTCATCATGTATTTGTCACTTTGATGTGACAATTTCTTTGTGGGTAGAGACTGGTTGGAGAAAACGTGGGAATAGTCTGAGCCCCAGCTGCTGAAAGCCTTTGGTCTCTCCTCACAAAATCTTCTCAAACGTTGCCACTGAATTTCAAACTGAACATAAACATTCTTGAATGACCTAGATCAGGGGTCCCCAAACTTTCTGGGTTGGTGGCCCAGTGAGAGAGAGGGGGGCAAGTGCCTTGCATGCGCAAACATGAATGTGGCCACACGAGCATGCGTGTGCACAAACAGACCGCGAGCATGCACACCACACAAACGAGTCTGCGAACATGTGTTAGGCTCTCAGCAATGCCAGCGCCTGTGTGAGGCTTGCAGTACTGCCACCAGCCTCATGGCAATGCTACCACTGGTACGAGGATTGCACCCCCCCCCCCATGCATGAGGCTCATGCTGCGGCCTGCAGTGATGCTGCCACCAGCGTGAGGCTGGTGCTGCTGCTCCCACCACAGCCTGTCTGCCGCTTGCAGCACTGCCACCACCCAAAGTTTGTGGCAACGCCACCGCCCACACAATACTAGTGGTGCTGCCATTGCCTGTGCAACACTCGCAGGTATGGTGACATGAGGCAGGGTGAGCATGCAGGCCACGGTCCAATAGTGGGCAGCAGCCCATAGGCTGGGGATCTCTGACTAGATAATGGAGGTGCAGCTTTACAACCATTATGATTTAGCTCTCCAGGAGCATCCGGAAAGGAGAATTTCTGCTCATCCTCATAGGAATTATTTAGTGGGATCCCACAAGCTGTGTATTTATCTTGGGAGCTAATTGTCCTTGATATTCTGAGTTATGGTTAGGATATAAAAGAGTCTCCATGAAAAACCTATGAGAAACATAAAAGTAAGTTGAATGCAGTTGGAATTTATTGCAAGAAGTGCCTATGATACAAAAGAAGAGATATGAGTCAAGAATGACTGGGTGCTGAATGGATGAGGATCAAAGGCAAATATTAATGACCAATGGGAGGAGGGATGTTGAAGTGGCTTTGGACATATAAAGTAGCCTGGTCATATAAAGAGAATGAAAGAGCTGAATCATAGGACACCAAAGAAGAAGAAGTGGTCAGGAAGAAGAAAACCAAGAAAATTGTGTGTGGTGTACATGAGATCCTGAAATAGATGGGGATCAGCAGTTTAAAGAACAAAAGACAATGGTTGAAGTTTCGTATGGATATGGTTGAAACAAGGATGGATTGCAAAGATGAAAAAGGCATTGAATGTTATTGTAGATGGTGCTGGTGTAAAACTAAATTTAGCTACATTTTCTTACTTGTTCTTATTTTATTGCTTTAATTTCTTCTGCAATTTCTTACTGATTTCAGCAAAAGGGAATTTCATGCTGCTGAATTTGTTTGTACAATCTCTAGAAAGAGATCTCTTGCTCAACTTTGACTAAGAAATCAGTTGTGTCCTTTTCAGAAGGAGACAAGTCTGTTACATCAATGATGCAAGTGGGAGTGGCCTCGAAGCTGGATTATTACAATGTGCTCTTCATAGGGTGATCCTTGAAGATACAGAAAATACAGCCAGCCAGATTTGATGGCTAAGACCAGATATCATGGTATTAGCCATCAAATCCAGCTGAGTGACCCTGGGTCAGTCACTCTTTCTCAGCCCAATTCACCTCACACAGTTGCTGTGGGAAAAATAGGAGGAGGAAACTATGCTGGATATGTTCGCTGCCCTTGAGTTGTATATAAACATAATAAAGGTGGGATACCTTTATCACAACCTTATCACAACCATATTGTGAAGTATGCGATGATACAACAGTAGTGGGTCTTATTCAAGATGACAATGAGGGTGCTTACCGCAAGGAGGTTGAGGGTTTGGTGAACTGGTATAAAAAAAAAACAGCCTAGTTTTAAACATTGTAAAAACCAAGGAGATCATTGTTAGTTTCAGAAAAGGCAGGCACAGCCACACTCCTCTGTGATTAATGATTCACCTGTGGAGATGGTTACCAGCATCAAATTCCTGGGTGTGCAGTTAATGAGTAGTCTGGCTTGGTCGCTCAACAGCGAGACATTGGTGAAGCAGGCACAGCAGTGCCTGCATTTTCTGCATCGCCTGAGAAAAGCACATCTTCCTTCTCCTGTCCTTACCACTTTCTACAGAGGGACGATCGAGAGCATCCTGTCATACAGCATCACAGTCTGGTTTGGAAGCATTACTGCTTCAGACAGGAAGGCGGTGCAGAATGTGGTGAGGATCGCAGAAAACATTATTTGCAGTTCCAGAACATAGCATATAAGTGTTGCTTGAGCAGGGTCCGCAAGATTGTCTGGGACACTACATATCCTCTTCACGACTTGTTTTCTTTGTTACCTTCTGGGAGGAGGCTTTATGGTATCCAAAGCAGAACATCCAGATTCAGTCATAGTTTTGTTCCATACACTATTAATCTTGTGAACTCTAAAGCTTCCTCTTTCCGTTATGTATTCAAGATGGACAGTGATTAATATATGTATGTTATTTATATGTAAGGGTGTAGGTTTATACAAATATTGTATATAGCATGTTTAAATGTATGTTATATGTGTGTACATGTTGAGAGCAACTAATTTTCATTTTTAATGTGCTAATGTGCTCACAGTAAAAATGAGAATAAAGATTCTCTCTCTCTCTCTCTCTCTCTCTCTCTCTCTCTCTCTCTCTCTCTCTCTATCTATCTATCTATCTACTATCTAGCTATCTTGGATGAGATTTTAAGTCTTTAAACAACCACATACATACTTGCCTTCCAAGACCAACATATGCTAGTTTACCATGATCTTTTGTTTCACTTTTACTTTTTGGAATTTTTTTAAAATACTTCAGTCCTCCATGTACTGTTTTATAATGATTCAGGATTTGCTTGCATTGCCTTTCTTCTGTTCTTCCTTGATTTCTGTATACCACCTTGACTTCTTATGGGAGTAGCCAGCATGCCAATATCCTAAATAAAAGAATAACCAAGTTAATTATGAAATAATTGGGAAGCCACTTGTCATAATTGGGAGTAAATGAAATGTTCCAATTCTATAAGGAAACTGCCCAGCATTTTCAGTTTAGTCAATTGATTTGCATTGTGTAGTTTTGACATCCCTCTGTAGTGGTGATTCTGCATGGATTTAAAATGGAACACAAGATGGAAAGTCACCCCAAATTTCTTGCACAAGAAATGTGGGGCTGATGAGAGCAAATCTCTTCAACTTGGTGAGAACAGGTGCTGTGTGTTCCCATCGGACTTTTGCTGCCTATTTATCGTCAGCTTTGGCCTCTGCATCTTTTCTAACCATGTCCGTGCCAAGCTGCGCAGTCATTCTGTGAGTTGCATGAATGAATGAACCAAATAAAAAGAGACCACCCATTAAGCCTTCATTTAACAGCTAAAGCAGGATGTAAAAAACACATTCCCGGAAGAATAAATGCCACTATAGTTCCTGTAAAGAGAGCAGGGAGACTTTGCCAAAGTTTTGTGCTTTCCCCCATCTGTGAGTATGGTACTGTATTGCAGCCTTAGTTGCTAGCAGCTATTAGCAAATCCCAGACAAATTTCCTAAAACTGCTTAGCGTCTACTGCCACCTTGTGGAAAATAGTCTTTTCTTTTATGCAAAACGAGCAGGATTTCAAAATTCGTGCATCACTATAATCCTGTTTATTTATGGTTTGTTTAACCCAATTTAGTGGGAAAATACAACTGACTGATTCACACAATATACTAAACCAAGATCAAACAACTGTGGCTGTTATGTCTTTTCTGTGACTGTTCCAGTACTTGCTTTTGTTGATGCTTCATTTTGAATATTGCTGCTTTTATTGTATTTTACTAAGATTTGATTTGTGCTTGGCCATGTAAGGAAAATGAATTATAAATGGTCACAAGAAATGCTATTTTGGTAATAGACTTAAAATCGCTGAATGCTGATCTTATATCATTTTCACATAGATAATATTTTGATAAAATGAACTTTTGAAGGACACACCAGTATCCCAGAATGAAAGGAAACAATTCTTCTGTTCCATTTTCTAGAATCTGTCTTAAAATAGAGGTTTCCTATTTAGTAGGTGATTATGATGACCACACAATTCTTCTCATGTAACCGATTTATATTTATGGTATTATTTGGATTCCTTTACATTTATAATATTCACATAAACATTCTTTTCACTATGGACCTCACTTAAATATGATGCCATTTCTTCCTGTCTTTTACATACTATCAAGCAGCCACTATAAACATTTAAAAGCAATTTGGGGTTTGGATTGGAAACTTGGTGTAAGTATTATAAGTTGAATTAAATCCTGTAATAATAGAAGCAAAACTATTCAAAGAGATATATGACCGTTCAAAAGTTATAACATTGTTTGTTGTATCAGTACATTCATTTTCAAATAAAACTAAAGTGACAGGAGTTGAAGACAGAAGCACTTTAGGTTCAAACTGAACACGGGATACAATGTCAAGAATAGTTGATATTCTTTTTGGGACAGTGGCACTTTTGCCAAACTGAGAGTATGTTGTGGATGCTCTCATCAAATGGATCCCATTGTTGATTTGTAACTTGTCTGCCACAAAACACCTAGAAGGCAAACGGATGGTTGTTCCCAGCTACACCTTCCGGTTGCTCAGAATACTTCCTGTCTTTCCAGCTAATCTTTGTGTCTTTCTTTTTGAGCAACAAAGACATTCCAGATAAAGCAGTAAGCGCAGTCATTTACAAACATTTACAACAGTTCATTTAGTGGTCACCAGGATGTAAAAAAGATGTTGAGACTCTAGAAAGAGTACAGAGAAGAGCAACAAAGATGATTAGGGGACTGGAGGCTAAAACATATAAGGAACGGTTGCTGGAATTGGGTATGTCTAGTTTAACGAAGAGAAGGACGAGGGGAGACATGATAGCAGTGTTCCAATATCTCAGGGGCTGCCACAAAGAAAAGGGAGTCAAGCTATTCTCCAAAGCACCTGAAGGCAGGACAAGAAGCAATGGATGGAAACTAATCAAGGAGAGAAGCAACCTAGAAATAAGGAGAAACTTCCTGACAGTTAGAACAATTAACCAGTGGAGCAACCTGCCTCCAGAAGTGGTGAATGCTCCAACACTGGAAGTCTTTAAGAAGAGACTGAACAGCCATTTGTCTGAAATGGTGTAGGGTTTCCTGCCTGAGCAGAGGGTTGGACTCGATGACCTCCAAGGTCCCTTCCAACTTTATTATTATTATTATTAGTGACCATTTGAAGTTGCCACGACACTGGAAAAAAGTGACTTTTGACGGTTGCTGTCTCCTGGGATCATTTGAGCCCCTTTTGCAACCTTCTGGCAGGCAGTTCAATGGGGAAGCCAGATTCACTTAATAACTGTATTACTAACTTGGCAACTGGAGTGATTCACTTAACAATGTGGCAAGAAAAGTCATAAAATGAGGCAAAGCTTACTTTTGCATTCTAAGAATTCTGTGGGTTTTACAGTGTTTTGATGCACTCTTGGAAATAAATAGAAGGTTAGACCCATGTTTTTAGCCAATATCTACTGATTTCAAAAATCTGAGCAGGGTTGCAGTGGCTGTAAGTGATGATGATGGCCATACCTTTGTACTATGGTAAAGAAAACTGCCTGGATGTATCCATGAAATTATTAGAAGTCTATCTTCATGGAAAGAAGATTTATAATCTTCCACCAGAATATGATTGCTGAAAAATATGCTATTTATACAATATTCACTATTATTCTGTTTATTGGTTTATATAAACATAGACACATGGCTCTATGTTTGTGGATCTACATGGAAATCATCAAACTATATCCTCATCAGTTGTGGTCATAAGTTGAGGACTACCTGTAGTCATATGATTTTCCACTTATCAACTGTGGCACATAACAAAGGAGTTGCTGTTCCCAGTTGTGGTCACTAAGCAAGGATTACCTGTAATTGTCTTTGATGATAGGACTGCCAGGACTTAAGAAATGTGTGATTTTTTGTCCAGTGTTGATACTCCTCTGTTGAATTTGACAGGTCTTTTGTTATTGTCCTGTCTATGGATATTTCCTTTCCATATTATACTAGTTAAAGTTATTCTTTTGCTATGCTTTGCTTAATAAAGCCTTCAAGCTTTTTCTTCATTTGTGTGCTTATGGCTTTCAAATCAAGAACTTCTTGCCCACATTTTTGTATGGCAAAACACCAGATTTATGGGCTGGTATCCTTATTTCACTGCTGTATCTTCATGGTGCTGAACACAGCCAAAATGCAACTTGCTCGTCAGTGGATGCTGTCATAGTTATGTTCTTAAATCATATTCGGTACTATTCCGACTGCTATTTTAAATTTTCTCCCCTTATCTCCACACAAAAGTTTATGTTGGACAATTGGTGTTTTTTTTAAGGTTAATAAAGCAACATGTGAAAGGTTAAAATTTGGGATCTTTGAATGGTGGTTAACTTGCATAGCTTCTGATCCACCAACCCCGGCGGCTGTACGGTCAGAAAAAGTTTTTGTTCCTCTCTCACAGTGCTGGAACTTGGAATTCCATCAAAATAGAACACGGAGAGATGCAGGACCAAGAAAAGGAAATATTATTATGCATAATTCATGAATGGTGAAATTTGCTGCTGTCATATTTCATACCAAGTTAGAAGGGTTTAGAGAGATGAAATCATGTGTTCTGTTCATTTGGTGACTGTTCAAAGTTGTAACACACAAAAAAGAGTCTTATTACCTTGCACTTACAACCGTTGGAGCATCCCCACAGTCATGTGATCAAAATTCAAGCGCTTGGCAACCTGCATGCATTTATGATGGCTGCAGCATTCTAAGGGTCACATGATCACTATTTGCAACCTTCCCAGCCAGGTTCTGACAAGCAAAGTCTGTGGAAGAAGTCAGATTCATTTAATGAATGTGTGATTCGTTTAACAACTGCAGTGATTTGCTTAATAATCATGGCAAAAAGAAAAAAGGATCGTAAAATCAGGCTGAACTCACTTAACAATCACCTTGCTTAGCTATGGAAATTCTGGTTTCAGTTGAGCTCATAAGTGGAGGATTACCTGTCTTAATCGTGAGGGCCCTTTGCTACCCCTGAATTCAAGGATACACTTCATATAGACCAGCTCCTAAGCAGCAAGCATAGAAGACAACTATGGCTCTCCTATCTGGCTTGTGATTTTCCTGAATGAATCCATTTCAGTTTCCCTGCTGTGTAAAGCAGAATGCTGAACGAAGACTGTGAGGTTCTCCTTCTGCTCTTATAACCTTACTACTCACTACTACTATTACTACTACTACTACTTAATGAAACACCCTCCAATAAATTCTCTTTATATATTTTATTAGATAAAGCAATGTATTCTTAACAAAACATTCTCTAATCCAGGGGTCCCCAACTGGTCTGCACAAACAAGCAAAGCCCCATCTGTGGGATGCAGACAGCACACAAAACCACGCCCCCCTCCGGTCTGCGGAAAAAATCTCTTTCCACGTAACCAGTCCCTGATGCCCAAAAGGTTGGGGACCTCTGCTCTAATCTAACTTTTGCAGTACCAAGGTTTTTTTGTTTTTTGTTTTAAAAAGCTTTACAAAGCAGCCAGCTTGGTGCGCTCATTTATATACACAGACTGTATTGCTTGATGTGACTAACCACAGGAGAACCCAAAGCATCGAATTATGCTACAAACTTATAAAACTGTCTATGATCAAAGGTGTTTTGTCAGCTGGAGTTCTAGTGTTACGAATTCATGATTATCAGTCATGGGAATTCATTTTTCTCCCTACAGCCTCCGAGACTTAGCTGAAGGTTTTTCTTCCCTTAAGGTCATATTATTACTTGATCAAAGTTAAGTCACAAGTCTACAGGCTATTTAGAAAAAAATGCAAGTACACGATGGGCCTTCCGTTTTATCTCATTTCTTTTGTTTCCTTTCCTCTCATATTATGCCAGTTTTAGCTTTGG